CCCACTCCTGGCATTCTGGCAGTTAACTGAAGATGAGTCTCCTGGACTTTTCTACCCAGGCTGGCCTTGAACCATGATCCTCAGATCTCAGCCTGAGTAGCTAGGATTATAGGTGTGAGCCACTGGTGCCTGACTCATATTTTACTTTTTATGTGAAGATGCACGCATTACATTTAGCCAGATGATAACAAAGCTCCCTGTAATCCTGAAATGCCTATTGAATTGTTATAAATTCATTATCGCATATTCAAATGAACTTGAACAACCCCCGAAGGAATGACTCACAAAAGTACCCTAATGTGCCACCTTATGAGGGAGAAATTACCCTCTATATCCTGGCTGTTTTAGAAAAACAATAATGAAAACCTCCAACAATTCAAAAGAGAAAAACAAGCCCCTCTTAACAAAATAATCTGTCAAACTGACTACAGCAAACTCAAAGTCAAATTTCAGTTTGGCAGTTGGCAAACAGTATATTGGTCTCACAAGCGGATGACCTATGTTTTATTTCCTACCATGCACCAACATTCATACTTTCCTAACTCTAAAGTGTGTCTGACTTTCTCAGCCCTCTCTCTTCCTCCTCTCTCTTCCCCCTTCCCGTCACTCCTTTGCCCTTCAACTCTCCCTCTCTCTCCAAGTCTCTCCCTCTCCAAGCCTCTGTGTGAACTCAGGGCCTGAGTGCTGTCTCTGAGTATCTTTGCTCAAACCTAGTATTCTACTGCTTGAGCCGCAGCTCTACTTCTACTTTTTGTAGTTAATTGATGATAAGAGTCTCACAGAAAGCGGGCGGGGGGGGGCATGGCTCACACCTGTAATCCTAGCTATTTAGGAGGCTAAGATCTGAGGATCATGGTTTGAAGTCAGCGGGGTGGTGGGGAGGAGGAAGTCTTTGAGACTCTTATCTCCAATTAACCACCAGAAAATTACAAGTGACACTGTGGCTTAAAGTAATAGAGTGCTAGCCTTGAACAAAAGAGCTCAGATATAGTTCCCAGGCCCCAGGTTCAAGTCCCATAACCGACAAAAAAAAGAAAGTCTCACAGACTTTTCTTCCTGGGCTGGCTTCAAATCCTGATCCTCATATCTCAGCCTCCTGAGTAGCTAGGATTACAGGCATGAGCCACTAATGCCTGGTTTGCTATTACTCTGAAATTGTTCAGTCCAGCCTCTCAGTGACATTTTCATGGTTACCACAGCAAACAAAAGGAAACAGATCTTGCCAATTGGGCATAAAATATGAATCATACACGATACAGCATACCTGTAGACATGCATATTGCTCCAACATAAAGCAAAGAAGAAATGTGCTCTGGTTAACCTAATTTAAATTCCTTTACCTGAGTACTTTTAATTTTCCCAGAGTACTTTTAACAGTATTGTGTGTTGTTCTTTCTAAAGGCACAAAAGTTAGGAGTGTTTATTGACGTTCACTTTATTTAATAAAAATTATGAACACTGCCTTTGCAAGTTTAAAAATGAGGCAGTTAACTTAAACTTTAGGCAACAATCCTATGAGGTTTACACAATCATCTAATGTCATAAATGAGGAAAATGAGGCTGAGGGCAGTAAAGTATACACAGAAGGACCATACAGTGAGTACACAGTGCATCAGGCATAAACCAAGGCAGGCTGACTACAGGAGAACACTGCCATCCAGGCAGAGAGCAAAATCAAGGTGAAATCCATCACTGAAGAGATCTGTCAGCATCAAGCAAATTACTAAATTCCTCCTATGTTGATGTTTTCTGAATTTAACCCCTTATTTAAGGAGATATGAATATATCAAATAGGTCTTTTCTTTTTCTTTTCTATTTTTTTTTGTTTGAGACAGGGTCTCACTATATAACCCACGCTGATTTCAATCTCTCTATCCTGTGTCAGGATAGAGAGATTCTATAATCCCAGAGATTCTGTAATCCCAGAGAGTTCTGGAATTACAGGCATGCATCTCTACATTTACCTTAAAGAGATACTTTAGAAACGAGCTTTTTAAAAAATAGCATTAATTATGTCAGATGCCAATGGCTCACACCTGTATTCCTAGCTACTCAGGAGGCTGAGATCTGAGAATCACAGTTTGAAACCAAGCCAGACAGAAAAAGTCCATGAGAATCTTGTCTCTAGTTAATCACCAAAAGAGCCAGAAATGGAGCTGTGGCTCAATTGGTAGAACACCAGCCTTGAGTGAAAAAGCTCAGGGACAGCATCTAGGCCCTGGCTTCAAGCCATAGTACTGATACCAAAAAAAAAAAAAAAATGGCGTAAGTATCTTTGGTATGGATCATTTTATTTATCTGTTTTTATTTTATTTATTTTTGGTATGGATTATTTTAATAGGTTAAAATCTCCCATTAAATACAGAAATCCTCAATTTAAGTGCTGTAATAACTAGGCATGGTAGCACATACTGGTAATCCTAACATGCAGGAGACTGAAGCAAGAGGATGAAGAGTTCAAGGCCAGCTATGTTTACATAGCAAACCATATATTCTCGGAGCTGAGGGAACATGGGGTGGGGTGGGGTGGGGCATGGGGTGAGGTGGGGCATGGGGTGGGGCATGGGGTAAGGTGGGGCATGGGGTGGGGTGGGGTGGGGTGGGGGGGGCATGGGGGGGGGTGGGTGGGGCATGGGGTGGGGTGGGATGGGGTGGGACAGGGCAGGGAGGGGGAGGAAGGACATTGACATGATTAGTGTGCATCCTGGTTCTAGTCATTATAAGCTAAACCTACTGAGTTAATGCTGCTGCTATGATTACTGACTTAATGTTAGCTATTGGAGGGATAAAACTAACTCACAGTTGAAACTGGGGTTATACAGTCTTTGGGCCTAGGCAGCATCTCTGTGAATTATGTTAGATGCTAACTGATGCAGAAAATATCCTCAGAAGAGAGCTAATTTAGCACAAACTATGGGCTAAAGAGGTTGAGTGCCCTTCTTTATTACCAAACCATACCCAATGAAAATAACACACACAAGAAATCTCAGTCTTGTTCAACTCCCAAATAGTATTTCCTTCTTTTATTTCTGTCCAATAGAACTTTTTTAGATGAACTGTATGCTGTGTGCAATGGTATCCAACAAAGAGAACAGTATAATCATAGTTACTGTAGTCCAAAAAGGGAACTATTGGTAAATTCATTTGCTGCTGCTGCAAAACAAATGATTATAAACTTAATGGTTTAAAACAATATATTATCTTGAAGTTCTGCAGGTCAAGAGTCTGGCATAGCACAACCAAGTTCTATGTTCTGGTCAAAGCCACACTCAGGAGCTCTACTGGATTCTGCCCCTTATAGTTACAGGAACAGTTGGCTGGGAGGTGTAGGAGGGCACCCTCAGTTTCTAACACTCACTCTGAGCTCCTTGCCTCATGACTGGCTCCATGGGAAGTTCAGGGCATGGTAGCTTTCCCTTTAAGGCCAGCAGGAAAATTTCCCATGGGTCAAATTTCTTTCTTCAGTCCCTTTTGAGAGCTCTACAAATAAGAGCTGATCTTACCCAGGATAATCTGCCTTTTGGGACCTTTAATGCATTCACAAAATCTTTTGTCTGTGTCATATAAGCTCAACTGATCACAGTTGTAGCTCCCCACCCAGAAAGAGAAAGTATGTGCCAAAAGCAGCCATCTTGGATAGGACAGGCTAAATCCAGGCTCCACTGTGAACCAGTTACCCCAGTGAGTCCCCAAACTGCAGCAGTAGTCAGTGTTTGTAGAGTTAGAATTTCCAGGAAAGAGAATGTTATCGAAAATACCATTACCACTCCCATGTCCTTAGCAGCCTGACTCCTTAGCAGCATGACTTACAATAGCCCAAAGTTGGGAGCAATCCAAATGCCCATCAATGGATGAATGGGTAAATATAATGTGATATATATACACAATGCAATGTTATTTGCCCTTAAAAAGGAAGGAAATTCTGCCACATGCTACAGCACAGGTGAACCATGAAAGTTTAGTCTGAAGGAAATAAGCTAGTCATAGAGATAAGCACTCGCTGCATGACTCCACTTACATGAGGTTCTGAGGGGCATTAATTCACAGGAAACAGATGCCAATTACCAGGGCTTGGGGAGAGGTATGAAAAGGGATTGCCAAGTACCAAGCTCCAGTTGTGCAAGGTAAAAAAGAATTCTGGAGGCCAATGATGCTGACGTTTGCACACCAGTGTCAATACATGTAAGGCCACTGAAGAGTGTGCTCTCAAAGATAAACTTTATCATTTTTACCACAATTTTTAAAAATAATTTAATGGTTATTTTTTCCTTTTATTCTTATTAATTTTATTTATTTTTTGTTGATGTGGTACTGAGGAACTGAACCCAGGGCCTCAATCATGCTAGGCAAGCACAGTACCAATAAGGCACATTCCCTGCCATTTAACACAATGTTTTTTAAAGCAATTAAAATCAGGCTGGGAAGGTGGCTCAGTGGTAGAGTGCTTGCGTTCCATGCATGAGGCCCTAGGTTTGATTCCTCAGCACCACATAAGCAGAAAAAGCCAGAAGTGGCGCTGTGGCTCAAGTGGTAGAGTGCTAGCCTTCAACTGAAGAGCTGAGGAACAGCGCCCAGGCCTGGAGTTCAGGGTCCACGACTGACAAAAAAAAAAAAAGCAATTTCTCCAACAAAACAATTTACAACTAATTTTTTTCACTCCCTTAATAGTCAAGAATAGGGATTTGCATTTTGACTAGTTTTAAGGGTGGAAAATAATAATGTCTACAGATTTCACAATGGTTAATGAATTGAAAACTGAAGTTCACTTTTATAGTAATTTCTGTTCTGTCAGAAATCACAGATGGAAGTAGAGGTGTGGCTCAAATGGTAGGGTACTAGCCGTGAGAAAAAAAATAAATAAACCAAAACCACTAAGAGCAGGAAGACCAGAGCTCAAGCCCCAGTACCTGAAAACACACACACACACACACACACACACATCACCACAGAAAACAATGGTCCAAACTAATGGTTCTGTTGCAGTCAAAGGCAAAACTCACTTGACCCAGATCCAAGGTGAGGCTGACTTTGTTGTACTGTGTGCCAGAGGAGAGAGGAGGGCTTTGCCACCACCGTTCGGATCCATCAATCGCATATGCGGCTGGATGTGCCCGCCTGGAATCCTCAGAATTGCAATAGTCACAGAACTGGCCCTAGGAAAAAAAAAGAATTTTTTTAAATTTCAAGTCATTTTTTTTCTTACCCATTTAGCAAAAGCAGCAACGAAATCAAGACTTATATAACCAGCTGCTGAAATTCATCCTAATGCGTTCTGAAGGCAGTAGGGCTTCCCACTTTCCATTTAATCTTAAACCATACCCCCTGACTTTTGTTACTATTATTGATATACCTCATTTGCATCTTCCATCTAATACAGGTATGTTTTTCTTGTCCCATGTAATATTTTCCAAAATGCCAGTTAGTCAGGCACCAGTGGTTTACGTCTATCTATAATCCTAGCTACTCAGGAGGCTAGCCAGCAAAAAGCAGGAATGAAGCTATGCCTCAAGCCAAAGTAAGAGAACAAGGATCTGAGTTCAAGCTCCAGAGCGCGCACACACACACATACACATACACACACACACACACACACACACACACACACACACGAGGGCTAGTGTGGTAGCTCAAGACTGTAACCTGCAATATTTGGAGATGGAGGCAGAGTATCACAAGTTCAAGGCCAGCCCAAGATACATAGAGAGACCCTTTCTCAAAACACCAAGGGCATATCCAGGGGCTGGTGGCTTATGCCTATAATCCTAAGTACTCAGAAGGCTGAGAGCCCAGGATTATGGCTTGAAATCAGCCTTAGAAGAGAAGTTTGTGAAACCCTTATCTCCTATTAACCACAAAAAATCTGGAAGTAGAGATGTGGCTCAAGTGGTATAGCACTAGCCTTGAGCACAAAAGCCAAAAGGAGAATGCAAGGCCCTGACTTCAAGTTCCAGTACAGGCCTCCATAAAAGAGAGGTAAAGTGACTACCATGAGCCATACAGGTAGAACCGGCTAGGATCAGGACCTGTGTGGGGGGCTGATGCTGCGGTGTATAGCCCAGGACACTTTCTGTCCTGACCAAGCTGCTCTGTGAGCTATATCAATGAGCAGTAGCCCAGCGCTAGTGGCCCATGCCTGTAATCCTAGCTATTCAGGAAGCTGAGATCCGAGGATCATGGTCCAAAGTGAACCCCAAAAGGAAAGTCTATGAGACTCTTATCTCCAATTAACCACCAGAAAACCAGAAGTGGCGCTGTGGCTCAAAGTGGTAAAGCACTCTTAAGCAAAAGAGCTCAGGGACAGTGCCCAGGCCCTGAGTTCAAGCCTCATGACCAACAACGAAAGAAGAGAGAAAGAAAGAAAGAGAGAGGGGGGAGGGAGGGAGAGAGAGAAAGAGACAGAGAAAGAGACAGAGAAAGAGAAAAAGAACTGAAGGAAGGAAAGAAGGAAGGAGAGAGAGAAGGAAGGAAGGAAGGAAAGAAACAAAGAAAGAAACAATGTCTTGGGTTGGACAGAGTATGAGTACTTCAGCAATTATGTGGCTTTCCAAAAACCTGCCTACTACCAGATGTGTGGAAAGAAACCCAGCTCAGGAAAAAAGCCCTACCTGGCAGCACAAAAATACCCTTGTAGCACGCACCAAAATCCTGGCAAGATGAGCCTTTAACTACACTCATCCATCAAGAGCCGCACTCCATACCAGCAACATTTCACACTGCCATAGACTCAGCCATGCCTCTTTAAGGTTTTAGAGGCTACAGCGTCTCAAGGATTGAAACTTAGGCCAACTGAAGCCCCAAAGTAGAGAGAACTGTCTAAGTGTTCCAGTTCCAGACCTGAGAACTTTGCAAAGATCTTGTTCAGAGAACCCTCCCTTCTGAGAGGCTCCAGAACACAGGCATAGTTATAACAATCTGGACAAGAATTGAGTAAATTTCTTGAATGATTGCAGATGGGCACAGGTGAGCGGTGATGACCCAGAATACAGTTCTGTGGCTCCCACACACAAGGTTTCAGGGCATGGAGGAGGGGTGGTTTTGCACCGCCATAATGCCCCATTCCTAGAGGGAGGGATGTGAGTGAGAGAAAACCAGAGAGCTAACGATGGTAATAAAGGGTCATGAAAAAAGACTACTATCAGGTGGAAGGGACAGGAATAAGGGGAGGTAGGGAAACAGGAGGCGTGATGGAAGGGTGAACATGATCAAAGTACATTGTATGCATTGTAGAAATGCCATAATGTACCGTCTACACCAATAAACAAGGCAGATAGATAAACGTCTGCAAAACTGATGCATGTCATTAAGCAATTTCCTTCACCCAGGCCAAACTGCAGGTATAGGTGGGAGCGTGGGTCATTCTGATTCATTTCAAAGGAATATGTTTTTAAAATGAAAGTTCAAATCCTTACTCTACCAGCCACAGCTGTAGAACCTAATGAAATGATTTAGTCTCTGCTGAGCAATGTTTCCTCTTTATTAAAATGAGCAAATCCTGCCAACCATTTGTGCTTCTGTGGGTAACATGAGAATCTACTGTCTAGGAACTACTCAAAACCAGCTGTGTGATCGCACTGCCTGTTGAAAATACACTCTCCATGACTGCCTGGATGTAAAGAATCCACATCACTAATGAGAGCCAGAAATGGGCAACAGGGGACACCCTAGTGACAGATGACAGAGCAACCAAACAGAGCAACCCTGGTGCTAGTAAGAGCAAAGGAAAACATCCAGGCACCTGACACATTTTTTTGTTGTTTTTTTGTTTTTTGTCAATCATGGGGCTTGAACTCAAGGCTTGGACACTGCCCCTGAGCTTTTTCTCTCAAGACTAGCACTCTACCAATTTGAGCCACAGCATCAATTCTGGCTTTCTGGTGATTAATTGGAAGTAAGAGTCTCAAAGACTTTCCTGCCCAGGCTGGCTTTGAACCATAACCCTCAGATCTCAGCCTCCTGATTATAGGCATGAGCTACCAGGACTGGGCACATCTGACACTTTGAATGTAGTAACCTTTCATTTTTCTGACAAATCTAGGAAGTAGGGACAATCATTACAACCTTTTGCAGATAGGATGATAGATGAACAGAGGTGGTACAATCTCTCCAAGCAATGAAGCCAATAGAGTAAGTAACCCAGAAAATGACAGCTCCAAGACAGAGTACTGGAGGAGAAAGAGAGAGCTGGGCATGGTATGACACACTTGCAATATCAGCTACTCCAGAAGCAGAGGAAAGAGGCTCACATATTGGAGGCCAGCCCGGTGAAAGTTAGTGAGACTCTAACTCAAAAACAAAATAAAAGGGCTGGAGTAGTGGAACACCTGGTCCAGTGGTGGAATACTTACCTAGAAGTACAAAGCCAAGTTCAAACCCTAAAACAACCGAATATAAAAATAATAAGTAAATCAAAAGACTGGGACCATGGCTTAAGTGATACAACACTTGCTTAGTAAGCACAAAGCCTTAGGTTCAATCCCAAGTACTTATGTATGTGTGTGCATGCACGTGCAAATGCAGCATCCAAATCTGATGGCAACTCAAAAACTGAGCCTGGCCAAAGAACATGTCCTGTTTCTGGTCAATGCCTGCCTTTGAATCTGTCTCAGCCAGGTAAAAGGAAGATGCATTTAGGATTCTCCATTCATAGACAACTGAGAGTCATGTAGTCTCCAGTTATACAGTTGTTACTCTTACTCTCCTAGAAATCATTCTATGTATTCTCCTCACTCCTCAATGCTCCTTAAAGCATCTGTGCCCATACATCTGCCTTTCCTCTTGTTTGTTTTAGTCAATAAATAAATGAAAAAAATTCAACATCTTAGCCACCAGGAAATGCATAAAAGAGAACTACATTAAAATTCCATTTCACTCTTCAGAATGTCCAAGAAAATAAGGCCAGGCATGATGGCTCAGGCCTGTAATCCTAGCTACTCAGGAGGCAGAGATCAGGAAGATCACTGTTCTAGGCCAGCCTGGGCTAAAAATCAGTAAGACTCCATCTCAATGAGTATGACTGATATGATGGTTCATGCCTGTGATTCTAGCTACACAGATGGAATATGTAGGAGGATCATAGTCTGAGGTCAGGCAAAAATGTGAGACACCACAAGGAGCATATGGTGGCTCAGATGTGTATGTAACTCTAGATCTCCAGGGGACAGATGAAGAGGATCACAGCTTGAGGACAGGCAGCTCAGGCAAAAAGTTCATGATATCTCATCTCAACAGAAAACACAGGGTGTGGTAGTAAGTACCTATCATAACAGGTACAAAGGAAACCAGAACTGGAGGCATTGTTCAAGTGGTAGAGTGCTAGTTGTGTGTAAAAAAGCTAAGTGACAGGATAAGGACCAGAGTTCAAGTACCAGCAAAAATAAACAAAAGCCAGGTGCTGGTGGCTCACGCCTGTAATCCTAGATACTCAGGAGGTTGAGATCTGAGGATCTGTTCAAAACCAGCCTGGGCAAGAAAATCCATGTGACTCTTATTTCCAATAAACCACCAGAAATCAGGAAATGGCACTGTGGCTCAAGTGGTAGAGCACTTGCCTTGAGCTAAAGAGCTGAGGGACAGTGCCCAGGCCTAGAGTTCAAGCCCCACGACCAATCAATCAATCAATCAATAAATAAATATAAACAAAAAGCATTCATTTAGTAGTATTTAAAACATTAACTAATAAGTTAATAGATAATCTCTTCATGTGAAATCATTTGAAAACATGAGAGAGGAAAGAAAATATAAGTCCAAAATATTCCTCTCCTCATCAAATCACTATGCAAACTACCTTGGATAGATATCAATGTCTTCCATGCACATAAATGCTCTTCAATATTTAGTGTCTGTGCAGCTAATCCCAGGACACAGGGAATAAAGCCCTTCCACTCCCAGCTCCAACATTTCTCTCCCTGATGCAAATTCTAGAGTCCTCAATGGTAGTTAGGACTCATCCAACCGGTAGGCTTTATGCAAATATGGATCCCAGGCTACCAGTGATCATCCAACCAGTAGGCTCTATACAAATGTGGATCCTAAGGTACCAGTGATCCTTGTCCCCAAACTCCAGCCACATGAAGTAAGCAAGGCTTAGAGGCAAGACCACCTTTACTCTTCCATATTCAACACTCAGGTGGCACTTGATATTGCCCTTCTTTTCAGATACACACATACACACACACACACACACACACACACACACACACACAATTACATAAGATATAACTTGCTTTTTTTTTTTTTGTCATCATGGGGCCTGAATTCTGGGCCTGGGCACTGTCCCTCAGCTCTTCAGCTCAAGGTGAGTGCTCTACCACTTGAGCCACAAACACCACTTCCAGCTTTTCCTGCTTATGTGGTGCTGAGGAATCCAAC